TTTAAATCCTACAGGAATTTTTTTTATGTGATGCACTAAGCTTCATTAAATAAACTTTCTGCTTGCTGATTGAGCTTCATTCCCCATAAAGCGTTAAGCCGGAAGTGCATGCATTAAAACTCGGGCAGGGACTGGCTGAATATCAATCCATGTATGGGCAGGCCAGCTCCACTAATCAACTTCTGTACTACCAGCCCATCAGATTTTCGCTGCTCAATTGGTGCTGGAGGCTATAGCCGGCAGTTCTAATCAGTGTACTCTGGCAGCAGGGAAGTCTCCGCACTGTCAGAATACAGTACCTCAGCAAGAGTGTGGATGGGGGAATCAAGTCTTTTTTTTTTCATTCAATCTACTGGTTGGAAAAAAAAATTACTCATCTATGAGTTGCCTTATGAAAAGTGCCCTGCATGGTTTGCTGTGTTTTCCTATATAGTGGCGTGAACAGGGTCTGAACAAGGATATAGAGGCTGGTGACTTAAAGTGGCTCCAAGCCCTAGCTAGATCATATTTGGTTTTTATTTTTTGATCTTCTTTTCCTCCCCCCTTCTTTTTTCTTCTTCTTTTCCCTTATTTATATGTATGTAACAATGCATGCTTGTACCTGGAAACTTAATTTTGCAGCAAAGTGGCTAAATGGTTAGCACTTCCGCCTGCCAGTACTAGGATTGTTGGTTCAAATCCCAACCACAGCACTACCTGCCTGGAGTTTGGATGTTCTCCCTGTGCCTGCATGGGTTTCCTCCAGGTACTCCGGTTTCAGCCCACACTTCAAAGACATGCTGGTAGGTGAATTGGCTCCTGTCTAAATTGGTTCTAGTTATGTGTATGTATGAATGTGAGTTAGGGACATTAGATTGTACGCCCCTTGAGGGTTAGGGACTGATGTGAATGCACAATATAAATGTAAAGCACTGTGTAAATTGATGGTGCTATATAAGTACCTGTAATAAATAAATATATTGGAAATTGAATTGAAAAAAAAAAGAAGGTATAAAAAAATATTTGGTTGCTCTAGTACTGTGTATAGCAAATTATATTTTTTCCATTAAAAAAAAGTTTCACCCTTTTCATTGCTGCTGATCTCCAACCTTTCCAGCCACGTTGTAACTACTTTTATTTACTCCATTGTAAGCTGCTCATCATTTCTGTGAACCGGCTTCTTAATAGTGACAACAGTGGACCATGCCTTTGCAATATGTGTCGGCAGGACTGCTTGAGACAGCGTGAAAAAGCAGGAGGTAGTTGTCACCCCATAACAAGAAGTGCTTGAATAAGTATCAGTGCAGGATCACTAGGTATTCTTTTTATAAAAGATGCAAATTTAAAAAAACTGAAGGTATCTTTTAGAAATACAGTAACAGTAACACGTTGAAGCTAATGTGAGATTTTAGTGATTAAGTTTTGCGCTACTTAAAAAAATGGAGAAAAGAAAATGAGTACATAATTATAGTAGCTGTGAAAAGCAACCGAGCACGTTTCATCATTAACTTTATTAAAAAGAAAAAAAAACTGAATTGTAATCGGTTACCAAGGGAGACAATTCCAATTTTGTGCTCATTTTCTTTTCTTCTGTGATAAAGCATCAGCCTTATTCTAGCATCCATTTTCATTCACAGCTGTGTTGTCTCAAAGTAAATAGGCTATACATGAACATTGTTGTGGCTGGCAAAAAAAGACATTTTTGTGGTATCTGGAAACTTTTTTCATGCAGCATGAATCTAAAGCCTTCTGCCTAGAGTGATAACACACGACTTTCTATTATTTAATTATTTGTACAGCGGGGAATGTGTAGGTCACACAGTTCGATCTTGTCAGAGATTTGCTTTTGTTCAAATTAAATCAGGGCATCATCGCACTCATTCTACATGCCATTCTCCACAAAAGTCCAAGGCTTCTGTTTTTTTAAATTGTTTTATATTTACCAACCACGACACATGGAAAACTGAAAGTTTGCTGTATTAGAGGAATTTGGTGCCAAAATGGTTCTGAGACACAGGCTTTGGTGCCTTTCTACAACCACATAGCTCATCTAATGATCCATGACTTTGTTCTGAGAACTACGCAGAACATTGTGATGCTTCAACACTTTTTTTTAAGAAGTCCTTTGACTGTGAAAATTGTGCTTTAAACATTTACATGATCAATTATGATCAGGGCTATACAATGTGTGGTCCAGTAATGAAAATGTTGGTCCTCCAGTATGCTTTATCCATTCTCCCATGACTGTTTGTGCTCTGATTATACTGCAGCATGGCCCAGCTAAACGTTTTTTTATCTCACAAGTGACCAGTCATTTTACATTTATACTTTTAATAATATGCATATGTGTTCCGTATTATAGTAACTGCTGGGTAAAGGCACACATCCATCATAGGTATATTAGAGCATCATACTGATTCATGGTCAGAGTGAAAAACAGACTTGCGAGCATAAAGAATTTAAGGGTGAAATAGTGGTGCTGGAACCTTGAGATAACATTGGTTGTTAATTATACATTTATTTATATTCTTGTCAATACGGATAGTCTCAATGTTGGAGATACACATCAAACTTCCGCAGCTGGCTTGAACAGTATCCAGGTCACTGGACCGTTGTGTTATCAAATTGTTCCCAATAACTAATCATGTCCTGAATCCTCAGACTTTGGGGGGGAGTTGTTGACTAAAACTGCAGAGTGCAAAATCTGGTGCAGCTCTGCATAGAAACCAATTAACTTCTAGATTTTGTTGTCAATGGTTAACTGAAAAAGCTGAAGGTAAAAGCTGTTTGGCTGCCATGCACCAGATTCTGAGTGCTCCAGTTTTAGTAAATCTTCCACACTGTATCTATCTTTTAGCAAGCCCTACTGAAGGGGTTATGTCTGGCTTCCGAAATGTGTTCGATTTTTTTACTCATGTTAGGTTTGGTAAAAAACAATGTTTTGAACTTTCTATACGAATAGTGCAGGGCTAGACATCTACTAACTCAAACAGTGCACAAAGCATATACCCTTATATACAATACCCACATACAAATGTCACAAAAATAAATAAACATAAATCATAGTATGCAGAAACCCCCCCCCCCCCTCCTGATCCTCATCTGAGGGATCATAAATCAGTGCAAATGAGTGTGTACATCCCTATCCAGGGATGAAAAAATTGTAAAATGTGAACCACACTTAAGGAAATCACAATAACCTCAATACATATAAACAACCCCCAACGTATATTCAATTGAAAGTCCACAAAAAATTTCATGCTCCAAATGGTCATCACACACATGCAGGTGATATTCTTGTGATCATAGGTGCCAATTCTCCAATAGCCAAATTTCCCCCTCACATTCTTACAAAGACCCCACAGGGCCAATATGCTTTGTGGATCACCTTTCGATCCTCACAGGTGGTACTCTTCCTGGGTTAATACCCCACTTGTGGTCATCAGTAGTGGCACTCTCTCCTCTCCTTACAACTCTCCTCCAGCCACTGACACCAGCAATATTAAGTTTCCTCCATGCAGGGCCCCAGTGATGAAATAAAGAACATCCACCATAGTATAATACTGTTTAATAAACTGAAGCCAGACAAACACAATAAAAATGCCCACTCACATATACGTAGATGGAAAAATGCCTTCACACCACACTGTGGGTGTATTACGTGGGTGTAGGGTGCACCAAGATGGTGCCCACGCCAGATGTGACATCACCATGTACCGGAGGTTCCTCCCCGCGTACCTACGCATTACGTCACGCTAAATCACGTGACTTCTTCAAGAGATCTTGGGATATCTTAGGAATGTTTTGAACTTGAACATTTCAGTGTGGCGCTTCAATTCCAGCTCCAAATATTGTGAGTGTAAAGACTCTGGGGTCATATTTATAAAGCATTGAGTGTAACATTACCCAAAAAGTAATTGAATGTAAACCTTCCTGGTCAACGTGTTTTTATATACAGTGAATTATTCACCACCAGCAAATTTTTGGTGAATGTATAAATATGCCCAAGGGGATTCATAGCTACTGGATGCGGCATCGTAATTTTTTAGTCCCTGAATTGTCAATCTTATGCTGATAATAATGATGTTGTTTATTATTTTTTATTAACAAATTCCTTTCATACCTTCAAATTCATTCATCCCGTTTTACCGTTATCCATGTTCTTAGGCTTTGCACCTAAAAGGAAAAATATCTAAGCTCTTTAAACACAAAATGTATAGGCTGTATTTTAGCTTCTTTGAATATGTATTATGTGTAGCCTTTGTGGCCGCAGAATTCAATGCTGGGGTTAATCTTGTGGTTTTCTTCTTTCACATGAAACTACACAACAGAGACTGCCACTATACAGCAACAAAATACACCCTTGCTACAAAGGGCAAAGCCTGTGTGTGTATGAGTGTGTGTCTAACCTATTCTTAACTTAAAGCAAAATGAGATTGACAAGCATGTGTAATCTTGAATATCAATGAACCTGCATCCATAATGTGTGGAGATTTTTAAATAAACTATATTGCCAAAAGTATTGGGACACCTGCCTTTACACACATATGAACTTTAATGGCATCCCAGTCTTAGTCCGTAGGGTTCAATATTGAGTTGGCCCACCCTTTGCAGCTATAACAGCTTCAACTCTTCTGGGAAGGCTGTCCACATGGTTTAGGAGTGTGTCTATGGGAATGTTTGACCATTCTTCCAGAAGCTCATTTGTGAGGTCAGGCACTGATGTCGGATGAGAAGGCCTGGCTCGCGGTCGCCACTCTAATTCATCCCAAAGGTGTTCTATCGAGTTAAGGTCAGGACTGTCAAGTTCCTCCACATCAAACTTGCTCATCCATGTCTTTATGGACCTTGCTTTGTGCACTCGAGTAAAGTTATGTCGGAACAGGAAGGGGCCATCCCCAAACTATTCCCACAAAGTTGGGAGCAAGAAATTGTCCAAAATATCTTGGAACTAAGGGGCCATGCCCAAACACTGAAAAGCAACCACACACCATAATCCCCCCTTCACCAAACTTTATCCTTGGCACAATGCAGACAGGCAAATACCGTTCTCCTGTACACTTCCAAACCTAGACATTTCCATCAGATTGCCAGACATAGAATCGTGATTTGTAACTCCAGAGAACATGTCTCCACTGCTCTAGAGTCCAGTGGCAGCGTGCTTTACACCACTGCTTCAGACGCTTTGCATTACACTTGGTGATGTAAGGCTTGGATACAGCTGCTCGGCCATGGAAACCCATTTCATGAAGCTCTCTGTGCACTCTTGTTGTGCTAATCTGAAGGCCACATGAAGTTTGGAGGTCTTTAGCTATTGATTCTGCAGACAGTTGGCGACTTCTGCACACTGTGCGCTTCAGCATGCGTGACCCCGCTCTGTTATTTTACATGGCCTACCACTTCATGGCTGAGTTGCTGTTCCCAGTTGCTTCCACTTTGTTATAATACCACTAACAATTGACCATGGAATATTTAGTAGCAAGGAAATTTCACGGATGGACATATTGCGCAGGTGGCAACCTATCACGGTACCATGCTTGAATTCACTGAGCTCCTGAGAGAGACCTATTCTTTCACAACAGTTTGTAGAAGCAGTCTGCATGCCTAGGTACCTGATTTTATACACCTGTGGCCATGGAGGTGATTGGAACACCTGAATCTAATGATTTGGAGGGGTGTCCCAATACTTTTGGCAATATAGTGTATGTATGAAGCTGTGTGTCTGTATTTTCACCAAGCCTGCCTATGGCATTTGTTTATTGGTATTTTTTTTTTTTCGTAAACCAAACTGTGAACACATGCACATGTGCATGAAGCTGATTCCAAAAGGTAAATTGTATATAAAAGAAAATACAAAACAAAGCTATGCTTGCAGAATCCATATGATATTATTAGTGATTTTGTAAATGATGAAAATCAGTTATATTCTAAGTCAGTAGCACACTAATCCATACACATGAAATGTTATGACTGCATGAGTAAAAATCTACAGATATCCTCTGTTATTGACATGACCAAATCTCTGTACTTAATGAAATTTGATAGGCGCACATTTTTCATATTTACTATGGTTGACAGAATTGACATACTTACAGAAAAAAAAATTAATGTCTATCTATCTATCTATCTATCTGTCTGTCTATCTGTAGTTCCCTGTCTGTTTCTACCATCTTCCTATAGAAAGTTAATTACCTATGGAAGACAGGAATGTCTGTGCATAGTTCCTTGAATCCTCTGCAAACAAGCATGCATTGAAAGTAACTGATATGTAATGTATGCACTATATTAGGACATCAGATCAATACAACACATCAGACATTAGTCAATAAACCTGATGCTTTTCATTGCACAGAACTCACTTCAGCTATTTACATAAAGAAGCCTTTGTTTAAAAGGGCTCTTATGACAGCACACATTGCACAAGGGATTCACAGAAATTCCTACACAATACAACAAATTAATGAGCATGAAAATGTCTTGCAGTTAATAAACTTAACATAATGGTCCTTTTAAAATTAATAAAATGAAATCAGACTGCTCAATCTTTCTTAGCGACTGAGTTGTGGCTAATTACTACCACCACTTTATTTGGAACCAAATCCCTTTTTGTCTCTTTCCTTCTTAGCCATCCATCTTTTTGGTCTACTGTACAGACCTCTGTAAGAACTGCACTGTTTACCTATCAAAATTGTCCTACCAAACTGAACATTTTACCCATTAACTAAAATATTGCATTTGCTATGTGAAAAGTTAGTACGGGAAAAGGAAAAACAGAGGTTTTCCTTTGTGATCTGCATAACTGGGGATGTAGCAGTGGTGTGTCCTTTCGCACATGCTTTGTATTAATAGGTGTCTTTCTTTCTCAGGTTGAGAGGCATGCCCACCACTACCCCTTGCTAAGCTAATGACCTTGTGAGATTGCACAGACAAACCTATGAAGCTTTACCAAACTATGGTAAACAAGATCAAGGACAAGTTTAGAAATATGGCAGAACATACCATATGTGGTATGATTTTCTCGAGGAATGTAACCGATTTTAATATACCGTAGTGATAATTTGTGTATGATCCAAAGCACAGCAACCATAATTGGGCTGTGATTGAGTCACAGAGATCTTTAAGTGAGTTGGAATGCTTCTGTGATCATTGTCATTGGATTACTCTACAGTATATAAAAGTGAAAAGATGTTATCTCTACAAATATTTAGAAAAAATATTGAATCAAGCCAGGGGAAAGGCAAAATGTTAACTGCAGTCATGTGCAAGATCCTCCCTTCTTTGACTCACCAAACCTTTGCAAAGTTATGTCAAGCATACAAGTTCTTTGTACCATTGCTAAAAGAGGGGATTATCTGAATACTGAGGCCTAGCTGAAGAACACATATACAATCAGTGTTTCTGCAGAAATAAGTGAAACATCTGTGGCCCAGTGAGAATGCAAAATAATTTATTCAAGAACCATACAACGATCAAATATGTGTTTTAACACACAGCATTCAATCTGTTATGACCTTATAGCAGTTTACTGCATTTAGACTTTATGAACAGTAACTTTTGTAAGTCATCGTAGGGTGACAGTTCATTATTTAAAATGGACCCAACCAGTATCCAAGCATTTGCTTTATTTATGATATGCACACACGGGGGTTGATTTACTCAGACTTGGGGAGGGGGGGGAATTTACTAAAATTGGAGCATGCAATATCTGGTGGAGCTCTACATAGAAACCAGTCAGATTCCAGTTTTTTTTGTCGAAGCTTAATTGAACAGGCTAAAGTTAGAAGCTGATTGGCTACCATGCACAGCTTCACCAGATTTTGCACTCTTCAGTTTTAGTAAATCAAGCCCATGGTAAAATCCCTAATTACACCAGACATCACTCAGTGCTCTTGATTCCTAAATAAACTTGGAAATGTGCAACAAAACTAAATTGCAACCCCAGGCAAACCACCAAATACACATTTAAAATACATGATTACTGTTTTAGCAGCCAAATCATTTCTCATTTTTTTTAGTCATTTTTTACAAACTTTTGCCACGCTGCCTAGCCAAGAAGATCACACTGTTACTTCCGAGTACAGCAGTACCACTTCCAGGATCAACTCCTTCCCATTTAGACAGGGGATGATGCTAATTCATTGAGAACAAAGCAAGTCTGGAGGAAGAGAGGAGATAGAGGTAACTGCATTGCTGAACCTGGACTGTGCAGGCAAACTTGCACTGCCCCTGGCAATTATTCCAGCTGTCCTGTGCCTAAATATGCACGGTTCAATCAGGTAACTGTTTATATTCAGTTCACGGGGAAGGGAAAAAGGGACATGCTATAGACAATTCCAGCTAACACAATTGCAATCAGAGCACAAACAGCCAGATTTTGGGACTGTCATCTAATGTCCTTGGGCATTCTTACTGAGTCACCTGGCTACCTGTGTAGTGTGGCCAATATATGTAAATCAGAGGAGTGACTGTACAGAATTACAAATCCTTTGGCAGGAAAAACACTTTGCAGAGATGTACATACTGAGTATTAACATTTGGACACTATATATTCTATTGACTTGTCTGACCTGGAAATAGAAGTATGGTCTGAATTTGGTGGTGTATTGTGCTCATGAAATCATTTGATCTGAACAAATATCAGATATTTATTGTAGGTTTATAAACTATAAAATAGATCATAATGAAATGCCTCATAAAAAGTTAATATTATACATACAATTTTACAGTAATGAATTGCTAAAATTTAGAAGCAATAATTGGCACCATCTATTCATCATATTATTCATCAAATTAAAAATTTAACATGGCAAATAATTGAAACGAACTAAACTGCGAACATGGTTGAGTGCACATTAATTAAGAAAATTTGAGAGGACCACATTATGAAAATGTATTTAAAAGATTAATGGTTTAAAAAACGTAATTTCTTGTGCTATTCCTTGGAAATAATTACAAATCGTTTAAACTGGGGATATAGGAAAAAAAATTACAATTGTGCACTAAAGGTGCCCAAGTATGTTAGGATCAAGTCATCGGACCCAACATCTTTAATACAGCTGATAAGGATGTCCAAATCTGACAAATGTGTCAGTTCTCACATGAAAATTCTGCCTTTGTCAAGCTTTGGTAATTAAAACACAAAATAAACTTCATGTATAGGTAATAAAAAAAGTTCTACTGATTTTTGGTTGCATATACATATCCAGTAATGGCAACACAAAACATCATGGCTCAAGGCTGGGGCTTGATTGGGCTGGGAGCCACTGGCTGATTGTGCAGTCAAGATTCCAGTGTCACATCTGATGAGTAATTATAACATTTAGCTTCAAAACTATTAAGATTTTCCAAGGTTTATATTTGGACAAGGAACAGTGGACAAACCATTGATTTTTAAGGGATTACTTGCAAGCTAGTTAATTAAGTAGAATTATTTTGGTCCAAGGAAGACATCCATCAAATTCATTAACAAAACATCATCTTAAACATGCTACAAAAATTCCCAACAGTTTCTTTCTGACATGATAATGATACAAATTATATGTTTAATACTATATAGTCTAGCCGGCTAGTCTGGCACTTAAAAGAAACACTCCATACTAAATATTCATTAAACCAGGCAATTACTTTTTACTTAAATTAGCAGAAATGTAGCCTGTAACTTTTATCAATTGAGTTGTTGTTCTGGCTGCAGAGCTGAACTTAAATGGACCTAGGACTAAAAAAGATACTGACTGGCTGTGGAGATTATCTGCTTTCCAAACACAGTCAAACTATTACTAAACGTTTTGGTGTAGGAACATCAGACCCTTAATTATCTTAGCTATTCTACATACAATCGCGGTCATTTATTTTTCAAGTATTAAGACAGCCATAAATAAAATATATTAAGGTGACCATAAACTTTACACTAGGAACAAGTGATGCTCCTAATTTTTGTGCATTAGGGCCTCAAGGAGTCATGTGTGCGAATTACCACATGGTGATATATTCAAACTTGTTAAATATCCCTGTGACTAGTGCTTGCTTCTTCTTCTTCTTCAATGAAGAATAAGAGAACAAAACAACTGGTATTGCATTGCTGTTGAAAAAAATAAGAGGATTATAGTGGAGCCTGCCAGTGGCATGAGTTATTTGACAATGGGTATCTTTTCTTTCCTTCCCTGTCATGGCCACCCCAAGATTACATTGTTTTAAACTTTACAGTGTTTAGAAAGCAACTCCTGCTGGGATCATACTACTCTAAGGAAGTGAAAGGACTTTGGGAGGGTCAGTGCTGTATTTTGTGTTGCTGGGACCTCCTGTTGTGTCATTTTAGGGTAAAGCTCCCAGGCAGAGGACATAGAAAAAGCTTCTCTATTGAGTTGAGCTGACACAGAAGGCATGCAGACTCACTGCACAGAATGTTTTGCATGATAAAGTCATAGAACTGCACTGAAATGACACTACACTAAGATTCTGATGCCAAGGGCAAATGCTTGTGTAAATTGACCAGCTGTAATTCACAATCTAATTTATTTCTTTCAAACGTTATGTATA